TGGAGAGCAAAATCAAGCATTTGCAAGACAACGGCCCTTTGAGCCACTACCGCTTCTATGCTGCAATGCGGACAAAGCTTCTGCGCCAGCAGCACAAGGATCGAGACCTGGACGAGTTCTTGAAGCACTTTCGTTTCGGGAACTTGAGCGATGCCATGCAAGACAAGGGCGGCATGAGCGCCGTGATGTGCGCTGTTCTGTCAGGGGACATTGGCATCTTGCGATTCTTGGCCGGGAAGCGAGCTGACATGAATCACAGACTGCATGGCATGAGCGACCTGGGATATTATGATACGCAGACGGCGCTCATGGCAGCAACAAAGTCGCGGCAGCCTCCATCTATGCTTGCAGCGCTTGTGGAGCTTCGTGCGAACGTCAACGCGCGCTCTCGAACAGGTCTGCCAGCCTTGTTCATGTGTCGCTCACCTGGACACGTGAAAGTGTTGCTGGCGGTCCGTGCAGAGCTTTCCGACCTGGCCCTGAGTGGTGCTGCTGCTTTTGCAAACCCGGAGACTGTACAAGAGCTTCTGACGTGTCGATGTGACCCGCGCAACATGGATGAGTTGCAGTCGGGGCCCCTGCATTCAATTGCTTTGACGTCACGTAGCAATGGCAGAGCAGCTGAGACTGCAAGTTTGCTTTTGGCGCAAAACGCAGACGTGAATGCGCGGGCTGCCCCAAGGGGTGAATATCTGTGGCAGTGCCGGTTGGCACGTCTGCGAGTGGCTGTCTTCGGCTTCTCCAACTGAAACTGGGCTGGCTTACGGATAATTTGTCTGATGTCTTTGCATGGTTCCGCTACTTGCATTGGGATCAAGTTGTCTGGTAGCACCAACGGATCAATAAAGTCACAATTCTCCAAGCAAGCTTGGTCAGAATGCTTCTACATGTGTGCCTTTCGTGCAAACCTGCATCTTTGTTCAGCCACCTTGTGGAATGTACATGACGGCAAAGGCCCTGAACCCTCAACCCTACCATCCAATGAATACCCTAAACCCTGAACCCCCTAAACCCCAAACAATAAACCCTAAATGGTGGTTTCCATTTTCTTTTCCATTATCCCTATATAACCCCTATAGAACCACCATAGAACCTTATAGAACCCCTATAGACCTAAACCCCAAACCCTGAACTCTAAACCTTGTACCAAACAACCGGCTTACCAGCTTGCCAACCCTAAGGGTCCAAGGACCCAAAAAATCAGGTTTTCGGGCCCAAATACTAAGATATTAAGGATATTTTGGCCCTAAAACTCTGTTGTTTGAGTCCTTGGACCCTTAGGGCAACTTAAGGTAACATGATAACTCGCTACTCGGCGGCTGTTCAGTCACGCTTTTTATGTTGGGAATGTTTGTGATCCTAGTTTATCAGAGCTATTTACCGCAAAAAGGTGTATACGTTCCCCCCGGTGCGGTTTGAACAGCTTATCGGAACCCACGGACTTAACCCCTAAACCCTGAATCAAAGCTCTTAATTAACCTTGAACACTAGCTCGATGCCCAGACCTAAGCCCCACTTCGAGGTCCATGGGTGCTTTAGCCATACATAAGCATATTAGGGCTGATATTTGGGTTCGAAGTACGGCTGTAAGTTGGTTGTAGGTGCCCATGGACCTTCATGTGAACCCTAAACGCCTTAAACCCTGAACCCGCATAATAAGCCCCTGTATAAACCCAGTTTCCATGCGATTTTCCCGCTAATTACTCCAAAGCCCCGAAACGGCGTGAAACGCCAAGCCCTAGACTTGAAAGAATTACTATCTGGATCGGTACCTTACACAGGCTATGGACACCAAACTACAAAAAAAGACCCGAACCCTAGAACCTGAAACCCCAAACCCCAAAGCCGAACCCTAAGCCCTTCATCCCAGCCCCCACCCCCCCAAACAAAAAATGCTTTAAACCCTAAGGCTATGGAGCCTCCATAGGAGGCATGTTGGCGCTTGGCTTCGCAGCCATGCTCGGCCATGAGCCGCTCACGAAGCTTCTCCTGGCACATGGGGCCGAGACTTGTTTTCCCAGACCCTCCTAGTGGTTTAGGGGTATTACTACTACATGTATACCGTTCCTGGCACATGGGGCCGTTACCCCAAGAATGGAGAATCAAATTGGAAAAAATGGAACGCGAAATGGCAGCTATTATTATAGGGTTTGGGGTTGAGGGTTTAGGACCCTCCCAGTACCGGGCTAAAGGCCTAAGTGGTACTCGGGCCTAAATAGAAGGTAGTCGGAGGGTCTAAGGTGTGGGTTTTAGGATTTCTGGTTCGCAGTTTAGTATTTCAGGGCTTTTGCGGGGAGTTGGACTGCGCAATTTATGGCATCACTACACAAACTCACCCCAACGGGTGGCTTGTAGCGACGACACTCCCAAATCCCATTATTTACGCTCTGGAAGTATCGTAGTTGAGTATAAACCCTAAGCCATTTTAGCCAGGTTTGGGATGTTTGGGGATGTTTAGGGTTCTCAGGCTCTGTTCAGGGTCTAGAGGGTTGAGGGTAGGGTTACAATAGGGTTTAGGGTTTAGAGATTAGGGCCAGGAGGTGTGCAGGGTTTGGGCTTGTTCACGTACATGTTTAGATCGGGGTACTGCGATGTTTTGGGCTTAGGGGTTGCAAGGGCTTCCTGATAATTATTTAGAAGCTCCTATGGCATATGTAGTCGGCCCATTGCAAGACCAAATGCTTCGCAGTTGCAGAATCATTCATTAGCCGAAGAAGACTCACCTTATCACAAGGAAGCGCCTGACCCAGAAGTAAGGTATGTTGGATTTATTCTAGTAATGTTCAAGTGTGGGCAACCATGTTGAGAGCACAGCCCAGGAGATCTTCCCAAATGATCGAGGGGACTCGCCCGAAGATTTGGCGCGGATAGGTCAGCACTACCATCTTCTGCCTCTCTTGTCCACCTTCTCCACGTGAGCACGGCCTGCTCCTTGATTCAGTCCTTACGCTATTGGACTTTGGGTTGCTTTATATACGAAGCTGAAGCTCTCTTGCCTCCGGCTTCGAAGCAATCGTTGCTCACATGGAGGCTGTGTGTTGCTTGGGGTCCAATTAGGCCACATCAAAGTAGGCACTATTGGTAGACGTTACGGCCGAATGTGGTCAACATTTATTGCCTTAGAAGCGCAAAGCCCTTAACTTGAAAAAAAGACGAACCATTTCCTAGACCACGTGCTGCAGCCGGTAGAATCCCTAAGGGTCCAAGTATCCAATAATTATATACTTGTCCAAAGCCTGCATTGAAATTAATATTGCCCAAAGCCTAAGTACCTAATTATTGGGTACATGGACACTGTGGGGAATGCCAGTGATTGGAGAAGCGTGAAAAGAAGCAAGCCGAGGGTTTCCAGACGTAAATCAGGTTCAAGGTTTAGGGTTTAGGGTTTAGGGCTTAGGGTTTAGGGTTTTAGGTTTTGGGGTTTAGGGTTTAGGCTTAGCGTTTAGGGTTTAGGGTTTCGGGCTTAGGGTCTAGGGTTTAGGGTTTAGGGAGGGAGAATACCTTAGATAACATTAAGAGCACTACTCTGATTGAAGCTTCAATCTCTGAATTAGGGGTACTTGGAGGTTCATGGGACTTAGTAACTATTTATAACTGGGGTTATAAACCTAAATATAATTGGGGTAACCCCTATATAAGGCCATTTAGAGGGGGGTATAAGTAAGGCTATAAGCCCAGTTATAAGTAGTTACTATTTCCCATGAACCTCCAAGTCGATGATACTAAGAGCCTTAGTCTGATTGAAGATATATTCTTGAATTAGGGGTATTGGGCTTTCTAGGAAGGTGATTGACTTTCCCCAGACGACTTGCTTTGGAGCCTTCAAAAGGGCCCAATGCAGACTACTGTCCCTTTCAGATGGGTCTATATAAGGTTTAGGGTTTAGGGTTGAGGTTCATGGGAAATAGTAACTACTTATAACTGGCCTTATAACCCTACTTATAACCCCCCGATATGGCCTTATGGGGGTTACCCCAATTAAAAGTAGGGTTATAACCCGAGCTATAAATAGTTAATAAGTCCCATGAACCTCCAAGTATGATACAAGCATGTTCCAAAAGAGAGGCGCCCGTAATTTAGATCCAAATATATGTTGAGTCCCAAGGCTCGATATCCCCAAATCTTCGGAAACTCCCATGTGAGCAAAAGTCTCAACTCATGCTATCCTTCTTAAAAAGCCCGTTAGTACTCCCTTATATAGTTCTGTATAAATACCCATGTAGTTTACGTAGACTACAGCTCATATGAGGTTCCAATTTTAGTTTGGGGGAGAGTGCGCTTTCGCAGAATGCTTAGCTTCTTCTCACGTTGTGCCACCCCTAACCGAGACCCACCAAGGGATCCAAAAAACCGATCCCGTAGAAGAATAAGGGGTATGGGCGGATTATATGAACTACAGTCAATATTAGCCTGTTTAAAGGACCCTCAACAGTGGACATAAAGGTCCCTCTGTCAGTGTAGTATAGTCCCGAATCAGGAACCCATGTCCGTAAAATTATTTCGGAAATATTGATTGCAGATCATACAGGGATTATGTCGAGGCCAGGGGTTATTATGGGTTCATATACGGGATATAACTTTTGGTCAGCAGAAGCATACCCCGAGGTCGGTAGTTACCCTGAATCCTAGACCCTGAGTATTCCCATCTGGAGGTGTCCCAAAATTAGAAGTAGCTTTTGGGGTATCCTTATAATAGGGATGATAATACATGGGGCTGTATATTGGGGTCCCCTAATTTCGGGCAAACTACCATATAAGACTAACACATAAGTTAAGGGTAATGGCGCTATATGAGGTCAACCAAGGCCTCCGTTGAGGGTTCTGTAGGATTTAGGGTTTAAGGTTACCCACCTAGTAACAATCTGCTTTCAAAAGCTTGTGAGATAGTTCTGGAGATAGTCAACTGACCTCAAAGGTGTGATCTCAGATTGTAGAGCTGTCCCAGAAGGTTTAGGGGTTTAGGATTTAGGGTTTCTAGGTATCCCTAAAGGTCCAAGTGCCCAATAATCATACACTCTACCCAAAGCCTGTACTAGAATTACTATTAGACCAAACCCATATACCTAATTATTGGGCACTTGGACCCTTAGGGTGTGTACCTGTCAGCCACATTGAGAAACCCTACGGGGGATGCAGGAAGCGTTGCAGAACTCTAGATTCCTTACCTAGACCCTCTTTCTACCCTCTTTTATACCCTAAAGACACACCATTAAAGACCCTATACCGCCAGTTAAGGGTACAAGGAGGCGCCTGGGAAACTCTAGGAGTTGCACCCGAGTGGCTCGCAATTTCCTCCACCTACCGCATGTATGGGCAGAATGAGCGCATGATTTGCCAACTCCCGGGCTGCTTTTGCAGATTCCAGCAAAGTTTACACTCCCGGAAACTAACATGGAAACCCCAAAAGGGCCCTAAAAGGAGACTAGATGGGTTTCCATGTTAGTTTGGGGGAGTGTAGGGTTTCACGGTTTGTGGTTTAGGGTTTCGGGTTGTTGCTATAGCCCTAAACCCTGAATCACAAAACAAGTTCCAGCATTGTTGAAGCGCTGCATGGGCTCACTTTCAGGTTTTAGGTTCATGTGTGGCGGCCAATAGCATCATAACCACTGATGAACAGCAAACTCTGTTTTGAGGTCCCAACTGGTTGGGAATGTGCAGTTTTAAGATATCTCTAACCAGTCATTCCAGCAGTGCCACCACCCCAAGCATGCCTTGCATCCACAGCAATACCTGGACCCCCAAAGGCAGGTAAACTAGTGGCCCAAAGCCCAGAAGAAGAGTCAAGATGCCTATTCTACATACTCTGCGGGTTCAGCGCCCAATACTCCCGATTCCTAATCTCCGTTTTGCGCCATGGGCGCCTCAATCTGCTCGCCTGATGACACGCAGACGCGCACGCAGTCAGCAGTGCACGAGTGCTGGTTCCCTTTGTGGGCTGTGAAAGTGTGCGACTTCTTGACAATGAAGGGCCCTCCGGAGCCGCATCACATGCTGCAAGAGAAGGGCTTACTGCACCAGTGGTATCCAGGTATGTTTGTCATATTTGTTTCGCACCAGTGGTTGAGCTCCGTACATCCTGACCCAGAGGGACGGCAAATGGAAGTTCTTCAGCAAGCGCTGCGACGAATCATCGACGGTTCATTGCATGTCCACGAAGACATCACATCGCGCTCTGAGGAGCAGAGCTTATCACGGCATACCCGCCAGCAAATATCAGACGGGT